TACAAATTAGCATTAAAATCCTCCACTTTAATTAACTATTTTTGTTTATCGCGCTAATTACCTGCTCCTGAGATACATGTGTGCGATGAACTGCGAGGGGATTAAGCTAAAATAATTAAACTTTTATTCACAAAAGGCGCTACAAAACGAAGTATACATATTCAGAGATAACATTAGTTAATGTGTTGGTTATCCTTTTCCAGAATTACATAGCCGGAAATAGCCCAGGAGAAAATATCTGTTTTTAAAATGAGATATACAGCAGCCGAGGTCTCTTTTTCTCTCTCTCTTTCTCTCCTCTCCTCTCCTCTCTTCTCCTGTCAGAGCGGCAAACTTTATCGCGATTCTTTCGTCATAAAGGGGAGGGAAATAACCACGCTCGTGTGTCGCGCGAGCGACACAGAAGAGTTGAAGATTCGCTACCGCGCGGTCGAGAAAGAGAGAGACGAAAGAAGAAGTCATTTTCTTTCGCGTCTCACCGCGCGTATAATGATCCCGCTTTTGCCGCGCGTGACCGCTTTTCAGCGGGGTTAATGCACGTCGTCTTTTGCGATGCAGATTGGAATCGATCGGACGTGCCTTCGCAGTTTAAGAGTCGGGAGATTACTTCGCTTTTCGAGGGAGATTCGCCCACGGGAATGGGCGCAGACCTGGGTAATAAACGCGCGGATTCGACGTAACACCCCTGACGGCTGCACGCAACGTTTTGCCCCTGCGGGCGTGAGGCGCGCCGCCGCCGCAGTGTTGCACCCGCATAATCCGCAAGTTGCGCGTGCTCTGTGCAAGGCGCCGGCACACTGTGAAACCGCGTCGACCCGTGTCAAAGCGGCGATGTTTCGTGCGATCCGTGAAGCGCGAGCTCTCGCGGTCTCTCGCACACGTATCATCCGCTCGCTCGCTCCTTCCCATCGCATCGATCTCGCGCACCCCCGCGATACCGCGGCGCTTTGTGCGCGAGCGTGTGCTTCCGTATTAATCGCGCCAACGTAAAGTTATCAGGCGGGAACGCTACCCCACGCTCGCGGACGTATCGACGATCAGGCGGATCTTATTCTAGCCCTAAACTTGGGCAACGCGTAATGCGTGCGGTGATGAGTACCGCATAATACGGAACCGCGTAAATTATTGCGAAAAACGATAGGAACGGTAGGATGATCAGAGAAATATCTAATTGTCAAACGACTCGTCGTTGAAGACATCATCGAGAAGTATCTATATATGAGAACGATTTTTTCTTCTTCTCACATTTCGTCTTTTTATACTGCGAATTTCGCTTGCTTGCCGAGTACCGGGATCTCGGAATTGATTCGCGCCACTAAAGCAAACAGTTTCTCTATGAGGGTAGGTATCAGGTGTAGTTCCACATCTCGCAATCGCTTGCGAATAAATTGTTTCGCTCGTCGGAATAGCAGGTGTGCGGGGCGAGCAAACCACACGGATTTCGAACAGCCCGCCGAAGACCTTCCCGTATTCCCCGGGACACTCCGGAAGGAATTTCCGGAGTAATTAAGCATCCGATCTATTCCCCTAGCTCGTCTACTCCTCGGCCGTGTCACGTCTGTTTTCGCAATCGGTAACGAGAGGCGGTTTCCGTTTCCCCTTCTGTCGATGCCGGCCGAACGAGGCGAGACGTGTTTTCTCACGGGGGTTGTCGAGTTTTCTTATTGGATGTCAGCCCCGTCGTAGAAAGGAGCCTGCTCGAGCGCGGGCAGGAGAGGCCCGGGAAAGGAACGAGCGAACGGGCGACGGCTTAAGTATATTGGACCCTTTCGATAAGTTTCTCGATTTCTTTCTATACTTTCGCGACTTCTTCCTCGTTCTCATTCGCACTCCTCTCTCTCTCTCTCTCTCTCTCTCTCTCTCTTTCTCTCTCTCTCCGGTCTTTCCGGTATTACCTCCTTTCACGTGTCCCCCCACAAAAGGGAACTACATTCTAGGAAGAAGGAAGGAAGTTCGGCCTCTTTATCGCCGCAAACCAACCTCCCCTTTTGTTTAGCGTACCGTGAAGTCGGTCTCGCGCGCTTGTCCGCAAACTTTAAATGCCCTTTCATCGCTTCTTCCTTCCGGCAGGACAAATTGCTGCTTACAGGGCTTCCTGCCTTTTTCCCGCCTTCTCCCTCCGGACGCGATTAAATCTTGGCGCACGAGCGCCATTGTAGTCTCTCCCCGACTGGTGGTGGTTGAGTGTTCAGCGAAAGCTGCCAAGGGAGAGTTTCTCTCTCTCTCTTTCTTTCCACCGCCGCGGTCCCGCGAAAAATCTCCCCGGAGTGTCTCCTGAAAGAATATCGATATTCTCGGTGGAAGTTTCTTTTATTCTCCCGTAAATCTTGCGATGTCTTAATCGCGTCTGGTTAAATCAACAGGACTCCCCTTTCCCCGGATAGCGTAATCTCACGCGATTTAATTAAAGATGGAAATCCCTGGAGTATATAGTTATTGCAGGAAAGCGTTTATTTTTTTTTTACTGTTTCTCGTTTGCCCGACAAATGTTAAAAGTTTCGCAACGCCATGAAAACTATTGTTTTGCCGTCTTTTTTTAAATCTGTTTTTTTTATCTGTTCAAACGAAAACTGCATACTGCTCAATGGTTGTTGGAGGATAAATTTAAAAGCCCCCTACGTGACGTTGTCCCGTCACTACCAAATATTTACACGTTCGGCCGATATACCGGCGATTCTGCAAATAAAATAATCGCGCGTATTAATTCAGAATTTCAACTGAAGTTATTTAGCCGTACGTGCGGATGACATTTCGGCATGTGTCGTAAATGTGTTGAGTGTAGAGCGTGAATTGAAACATACTTTCTATATTTCTTTAGGGAACGTTTGCGCTTTCTATATATTCAGAGAATACAGATTTAGAAGATATTATATTATTTTTTAAATCAATAAAAGAAAGAGAAATACTTAAGTATCGCTTAAGTTTAAAAAAAAAGAAAGATAGCATTACTTTTTTTTCATTTTTTATAGCTTCATTTTTTAATTTGGTGCAACAATTTTTTGCTCAAGAAACGTTTTTATAAAGTCTGCAACACATTTAAAAAAAGATTTTTTTATATAAATTTCTCTTATATAAATCTTAAGTCGCTTTATAAAATTTCTTACTTTTTTATTGTCCTTCAGTAAAATTTACCTCATTTCTATAACTCAAATCTTTCTGTCACTTTCGTCATTTCTGTCAGCTCTTCGTTTACACATACCTATATCAAGTATGTATCTCGAATTCGTCAGTCAAGATTCGTTTTAATTGAGGACATCGGCTTTCACCAATATCGGGTGTATACGGCTCTCAATTTGAAATTCCCTGTCGACCAGAGGCAACTAAGATGAGAGAGGTGAGCGAGCGCGGCAGAACCGCTGAATCAAAGCGATGTTGACACACCGTTCGATGTCGGGCCGCCCCGCGACGAAGTTGATTGTATCGTACAAAGTGCGAGCTCTGATCTCTTGAGGGGAGGGCCTATTCTATCGGGACGCTGTTGCGGCCGGTGTTGTTTGCTGGGTAAACGTTTTTGCAGTCGGCGAGTGTTGGCGCATCTCATTAACGGGAAACGCTTCGCTAAATACCGCCCGCCGTAACAAGACAAAATCGAAGTATTCCCTGCCGCAAGTAAAGCGCGATACAAGTTTTCCGCGTTGTTTAACCCCGCATCGCTAATTCGCTGCTATATCGCTGTAAAACCGGAGAGCGCCGTATAATTAATACCGGGGATATTCGTTAACCGTCGCGTCGTTGGGCCGATTAATTGAGCGTGTAACCTGCTGATGTCAGAATGATCATACGATTAAATTCAAGTACGATTATTTGCTTCGTCGTCCCGTAATTCGTGTTTCGAATCAAAGGAGCTAGAGTAGCTGAAAAGCAAGTGCGTTCTGCACCCTCCCCGTAGACGGAATGCAAGGAATTTTATCGACGCTCCAGCTTCTGGGCGCATTAATCATACGAGCGAAAGAAGGCAGCTTCTCCGGCGGAGATCCGCTGAAATCAGATTACTTTTCGTCTCTCGCGCTTCACGCGCGCGAGAGCACGAGAATTAGGGACGCGCGCGACGACGACGACGAGCGACGTCGTCGAAGGAAATAAAAGAGAAAATGGCCGGAAAAGGGAGGTGAGTCAGCAAGAGAGCCTCCTATGCGCGTTGAATGTGGCGTATATCCACCTGCGCGACGGTACCTCTCCACGGTATTCTCATGAATACCGGTGGTTTAAGAGCTTCACGGTGGCCTTCATGGAACCGGCGTGATGGGCAGCGCTGGGGGAGAGAGGGACGGCATCTCGTTTGGAAACCGCGGGATTATTTTCTTAGCGTTTATTCCGGCCCCGCGTTGCGAGGGTGGGTCGCGCGGCCCGCGTCTTTATCTCCTCGTTTCCGCGAGAGTGGGTCAAACTGGAGACGTCTCTCTTGATTTTCCCTCTTCTCTCCGCGTCGCCACCGGTAACCCCCGGCGGAAAGGCGTCGTCCGAGGACTTTGCATGTGACGCACCGACTGCGTTTCTCTCTTTTTCCCTCTTTCCCTCCCCTCCCCCTCTCTCTTTCTTTTTCTCTCGGAGAACCTAACGAATTCGACAATTTAAGGCGAATGCGAAGCGGAGCCGCTGAACGCTTTTAATTATCGCGGTATTTTAGTACCCTCGCTCGCGAAACTGCTCTCTAACTATCTTGGCCTGATCTCGATTTCACGCTAAAACAGTTTGGCGATGTGAAAAGGAAACTGAAACCATCGACGTTGATTTATTTTAATCTTAAAGATCTTTTATTTTAAAGCGAAACAGTAGAATTCAATTGTGTATGTACTAATTATTTCGTAGTTTTCTATCAAGCAGATCATGTAGCAGATCATTTTGTATACGTGATACAAAATCAATTTCAAACAATTTGAAAATCATCGTATACAATACCTATTTATATTTAGTTAGATTGTTGTTGCAAATTTAATACTCACAATCCGATTTATTTATTGTGTTAAATATAATATGTGAGGCAGATAAAACTAGAATCATACACGATATAATTTCTCTATATATTTTGATGTTTACAAATTGTGCAAACAAGGATTTTGATTTGTTTGGTAAAAATCTATATCTCCGTAACAGAGTGAGAAGATAGTATTTAATATCGCGATGAATTAGATTTAATCGAAATTAAGCCGAAATTGAAATTAAATTATTATCCATCACGGAATACATTGTCGAGGTATTTATCATTACTCAAGGAAGAATGTTTAAAACAATGTTAAACTCTAAATTTTTAAGCAAAATAAAACAAACTATAAATATAACTAAAAAAACGTAAACGCTTTAGGACAAATATTACATTTTATGTTATCGTTCATTATACCTACTATATAATATGCCATATCCAACTTTGGATCTTCCTTTGTTCTACCATTATGTATGGCATTCTAATAATTTATTTCGTGTTCATCAAATATTTTATAACGAAAACGGAGTTGATTTAGCATTCTCTCCTCGTTAACTTGCGAATAAAATTAAAAAGTTAGTACAATAGAATTAATTGCTTCTTACGTTCTTTCAAAAACATTCAATAAAATTGATGTATCTGTAAATAGATATACGGTAATAAAGTTCAATACATATATGAATCATTAGTGTAAGAATCAAATGCCAGTGAAAATACAGATATTGAATTGGTTGAAAGACTTAAAATGTTTCCCTATTTACGTGCTCTCGGAATATACCTAATCAGATTTTGTTACTCGTTCCCTTTGACCGACAAGCCGAGGTGCATCCACTTTCTTTACAAAAGTAAAGCAAAAAGTTAAAATACAGATATCCAATTGAAAGCTTAAAATATTTATCTATTTATGCGCTCTCGAAATATATCCAACGAGATTTTGATGCCGAGATATTTAGTAAAATTAATATTTTACGGAAGTAGGTATTGTAAACTCTTTTAACACACAGCCACTACTTTTATCAAATCGGCGAAAGCAATAAAATCACGAATATGGCAACAGATTAGCGACATAAAAGCAAAATTGTTTATTTATTATTACGTTTTTTTTTTACTCGATTGTGTTACGGCAGCTGCACCAGCCATAAGTAGATAGTTTCATAACATGTATTGTAGTACTTTCATCCTCGAATTAAGCTTTTGCTGCATTATCAAAATAATATTTATTTAATGCATCTAGCAGGACATGCACACACAAACAATTATTCCTCGCCGTTAAATGCGCGTGAATTGCGTTAACTTTTATACAGCTTGATTTATGTCCGCGGAAATCTTGCCCGGTATACCGTGCGTCATCGTGGGGGTGATTTCTTCTTTTTTTTTGTCCATACGTGGCTCCGAGCTCATCTGTCACAGCCAGCATGAGGCGCGCGTCGTTCTTCTCGCTTTCGCGAGTAGAACAAATTGTACCTGACAGCAGGACACGGTCGGTGAGTAATGGCTTTTTGGAGGGGTGGTTAGCCCTGTTTGTACGTCGAGAGTCACTGCCGGATCACTCTTCTGTTTTCACCGCTGACTGCGCCGCGACACGCCCCTTGAATACGCGCCTCCACGTCTCTGCTCATTATGATCGGCATTGTGCACGCGGGCGAGGTCTCGAAATAAAACCATCGAAAGTTGCGGAGAAGGGCGGTCCTCCCCCTCTTCCTCCCCCTCCCCCGCCTGCCCCCGCGCTCGCGGGGAGGACACACGAACGATCGGATGTGACATGTCGAAATTACGGTATTCCCAAAATTTGTCAAAAAAAGGGGAGACGTTTAGTAGAAATTATATCTGCGTTGAGATCAAATTCTGTATTTTTTTCCTCCCGACTTTCTTCTTACTCGATATAGTTACCTCTCTTTTTTCTTCAAGAAGACACGTCTTGTAATGTATACGTGAAATAATTATAATAAAAAATAAATTAATGAATAAAAATAAAAGTTTATGAAACTCTAGAGGAGACAAATGAGAAAAAAAAAGGTAGAATATGCACGAATCTTTATGAAATTGTGCTCGCGGTCGACCGCGTAATTAGAGGAGGGATGCTAAAAAGTTGCTTTCAGGAAGTCGCGTAGGATAGACGGAGTGCTAGAAATTCTTTTCACTCGGTGTGATGTCTTTCTATCTCTGCGATTTTTGTGGCGCTTTAAAGGCTTCTTTGCAGAAGCATGGACAGAGATTGATGGAAAGGTACATTCTCGAGTTTGCTGACTGACGGATTCTCTAGGCTTTTATGTTCGGGCAACTCCATCGCTTTCTCTCCCTCCCTTTTTTCCTCCCTCCCTTTCTCCCTCTCTTTCTCTTTCTTTCTTTCGTACACTTTCAATTCAGGATGCGTTTATAAAGGAACTATCGAAGCATCCGAATGTCCATACGTATAATTAGTATCTTATAAAGAAACGGAAGTAGGTAATAATAAAAAATGCAACAGATATATTTTTGTTACAACTAGCAGTATCTAATATTATATTATTATATGAAATGTAAGTCTACTAAAACGTGATTTTATCCTGGAAATTGTAATGTATATCAAGAAGTAATGGATTCCTTAAAAATCAATTAAAGTGCCACGACTAAAGATAAATAGCTTTCGTACCCACTTAAAAGTTTCATCGGCAGGATTAAGAAGAGATAAGCAGATCGCGCGAATGAGAAGAAAAAAATTGCGATGAACTTTTCAACACCTTCCGTGCCGACCCTCCCGCGTTCCGCTGGGGCACCCGCCGTACCGGAAGCGAAAGCTTTCGTTCAGAGAATTCAATAAGGAGTTTTGGGCCCTAAGGGTTTCCTAATTATAGCATTAATACGCAATTGAAGTTCTCTTCGTTAAATTTGTCCTTGTTTTCGCTTAATTTCGACGCTCAAAGGAAATATCTCTCTCTCTCTCTCTCTCTCTCTCTCTCTCTCTCAAATAAGAGGATGAGAGGGATGGTGCAAAGACAGAGAAAGGGAAGATAGCCGGAAATGGTCGAGACCCGTTCTCCCCGCCCGCGTTTTCCGCCTTCAGAGAGACATTATTATTATCCGATACCGTTGTAATGCCGCCACAGGGTTTCTCTTCGTTTAATGGCGGCTTTCACGCTCTTATAATCCGCCAAGTTTCGCGATAATTCATTCTATCCAGTTTCCGCCTTTGCGCTGACACAAAGACCGCGGAATAGAACGGAACGGTATGACAACGGAAATTCGCGTTCAAAGAAGACGATACGCGAGCTCTGTGCTCCGTCTCTCGCAAAAAGGAAATACTTTCGCGGGTCTGAAATTGGCTCTTTTAACGCGCGTGCCGATACTATACGTGATATATAGACGCCGTTTTTCGCTTTTTCACCTCGGGAGCGTATTACGAAATCAATTTAATGGTCGCAGTTATTTTTCCTTAATCTAACATTCAACGTTTACGATCCCGGTGAGGGAAGCAGGTGACTCCTGGGACACGTCATACATCATATTCGAGCATAACACGCCACGGGGAAACTCGTAATTAATTGCAATCATTTTCGTGACCGTGGGGGCGCGCAGTAGGACGCCCGGGCGATAAATCCCGGCCATTTCCGACGTCTGGAATCTGCGATGCGATAATCGTTCCAAGGGCTAAATGTCGTGTATCGATCGTAACAAGAGGATGCGCCTCGCTCTCGCTCGTTCTCTCTCTCTCTCTCTCTCTCTCTCTCTCTCTCTCTCTCTCTCTCTCCCCGCGTCAGCACAAACCAACGAATAATATCTATCGTTTCGCGGTATTAAACAATTCGCGGAGATATCTCGAGTCGAATATCCATTGTCCAAATATCTACAGTTCGGTCTCTTTTTTTTCCTGCTCTTGAGAGATCCGTCACAATATTCCGTCCGTGATTTAATAACGTCCGTTCATTCCGACGGTCAATTTATCACGGAAATCTTCGCGATCTATCATATCGATCGCGAGTATTCGATTAATATCTAGCCATCACACAGTCCGTCCTATTTCTCTCCGCGCGGAGATTAATAACATACGGGCGAAATTTAATAACGTACATTCAATTCGTAGCGTAACTTATTACAAAGATCCTCGCGATCTATCTGTCATGTTCTCTAGGTCGAATATTCAGTTAACGTCTAACCCTCATGGTCCGCCCTATTTTCCGGACGAGATCCATAATATCCCCGACGAAATTTCCATTTCCGAGAGGAACCACACGCTGGCAGTGATGAAATGAGCCCGCTCAGCCGCCGCCGCGCCGGTGCGATTCTCCTCAAGAAGAAGAGAGAGGAGCGAAGGAGAAACAGAGACGGGAAAAGAGAAGCAAATAAAAAAAACTGCGTTAACCACTCCAGTCTTTCCGGCGTCAAAAATCAACCGGCGTAAAAAACGATCTTCCAGGGAGAGCCATGAGATTTCACACCACGTTCCGCGGACGGAGGACCTCGTTTTAGTCAGATTGGATGGTTTCTGCTCCCGCACTTCCGCGCCATCCCTTCCCTCCCTCTCTTCTTTCGGCTCTTACTTCACTTACTCCTTTCTTCCCGGTTTCAATCCTTCTCCCGTTGGAGAACGATAGAAACGCGTGCTCGGAATTCGGCGACGATGAGAAGAACGCGCGATCGCGCGCCATGATCGGATGCGATTTTCCGGTGGATGGCCGACATGGTTTGTGATTCGCTCGAAGGGAGGGCTGAAGGGAGTCCCTCGAGAGCCGAAATCACGGGATTGTTTTGTCTCGGGGAATTCGAGTCGGAATCTGAGATTCTTCTCGCGCCGAATTCTGTGTAAATCTATTGTGACTGATATTTCAGTATCTAGCAATAACAAATTTCAAAAAGTATTTCTTCTAGAAATCCCATTTGACACTGGCCAATTTAACATTACTTATTTTGTGTATTAAAAACACTGTTGTTATGCTTTTAAAACTCAGTACGTAATTAATCACTACTTTTCAGTATTAAATTTTTATAAGGGATTAACTGAATATATTTTTCAAAACGAATGAGAACGTATATTAAAGATTAATGCATTTCTATGGATTTTTCCTGGAGTTTATAAATGTTTGCGATTTTTGTTTAGATATATCTGGTTTTAGCGCGATTTTGTTTCGAGAAATTTTCGTTGCAAGCAAAATGTTTGAAATATCGCAGCCCGAAATACCTCGCGTTTTTTTTTCCTTGTTTCCACGCGCGACAATCTGGCGGCCTCTTTCCGCTTTTTTGCCCATGGACTTTTCATCTATTCCACGCTCATCAAGCTTCCCTTCGGTCGGCCGCGTCAAACGAAAAGCTCTGGGCCCGCTTTATCGATGGACGCAAACGAAGCTCCGTTTTTAGCAGCGGCTTTAATCGAGCGCCGATTTACGTCCGGGGGGGTCGATATTTTATTAATCCCAAACGTCTGGCGGCACGCAAGAATCTTGCTTTACCCTGTGACCCGAAAGAGCCGTACTCGAGTGCCTCCGACAACGTATACCTACCGTTTCCTAGCCACATCGCGTGCAACGAAATCGGAGTGCTGTTATCGAAGCCTCGCCGGCTACGCACACACAACTTCGTGCCACGCTCTCTCGCGCACCCTTACTTTACGTTATAATTTTCCAATTTTTACGCGGTTTAATACGCCGGCTGATTACCATTAGCGAAACGCAGCGAACAAAATTCTTTAGAAGTTTTTTTACAACCTTTCCATAAAAAAAGGAAGAATAAACTTCAAATAATATCGTTTAATTAAAATTTAGAATTTAATAGAAAAATCTTTTTCACGTTGGATTAATATTGAGAAAGTAAATGATTATTTTACTGATGAAGTAATTCCGTGTCTCTCTGTAACTTCA